GCGCTTGCCAGGCAGGCGCTTAGACCGCCAAGCCATCTCCCTAGCCCAGAAATGAGTTTTGCTGTTTGATGAACGATCATCTTTTCAGTCAGGAGAAGAGGACCAAGACATGAGCAGGTGACGGATGCTTAAGCTTGATTTTATAACCTGGTTAAACAGGTTGAGGCCAGAAATCAATAGGAGAATATTCATGAAGAGTGATTGTGAAAGTGGTGAAGTCAGCATAACACTTTTATCTTTCATGTTAACCTCTGTTTATTGAGACATTTATCTAAAAATAACCGATGGAACGTAGGAGCACAGACGCCTCCCTATTTCAGCAGCAAGCCATATCTTTCCATGTTAATTATAGCAATGGTGGATGAACACACTAAATCAAAGTTACCTGATTTCTTGATCCTTGGGGCAATAAAGTTTTATGACAGGATTCTATTTTGATTGAAGGCCTTTTGTAATGATTGGCTGTAGACAATATAAATGCTCAGTGTCTGAAGGAGGGAATGAAAAGTTGCTTTTTGTTTTGTTTTTCTTTTAAATGTATTTGGTTGTTACAGGGTCTCAGGAGGCAGCTCGGACTCATGGTGATCCTCCTGCTTTCAGCCTCCCCAGCGCTGGGATTATAGTTATGTACCACCATGTCTGGACTCTGGCTGGATCAGCCCGCTCTGGGGGCAGGGCTGGTGTGGCATGGAGTGCTGGGGATCAAACCATGGTCCCTGGGCTTGCCTAAGCAGGTGCTTTAGTGCACTGAGCTATTTCGCCGGCCCTAGTAACTGAAAGTTTATAGCACAAAAGTAACAATGATTAGTAGCTGGAGTGTTTATATTGCCATTTGTACCTTATTGGTACACTGATAGGAAAAGCTGAATCTTTACCGGAGCAGTACTTCAAATTCCTACTGGGAGAATATTAAAAGAGGTGGACAGATTTTTGCGTAGCTGGTGAGAAATGGTAAGCGGAAGTTGTTCTGGGTACTAAGTTACGGCAGCACACACACTGCCAACATGGCCTGGTGTAGTACTGGGAGACCCTTTTCGTATCTAGCCAAGCTTTTAATTTAGTATTCCTATTCCTATCTACCTATACAATTCTGGTTATACTTTTTTTTTGCTGGGTGTTTAATACCAGGTTAAAGTGAAATCTATGTTAAATCAAAATTAGCCTTTCTCACTGTATTTGTCAAGGTCAGTTATGGGTCCTCAGGGGTTATTTTTGTGGCCATACGTGGATCTGCTTAGTTCCTCTGTGGCTTGTTTTTTTTTTTTTTTTTTAATGTGTCTTCAGCCAGCGTGGGTCACAGTATTTGCTTGACCAATATTTCCTCAACCTTTTCCAGGGTCTCCCTTGGAAGCATGGGGACAGTCCCCTCTTTAGTGACCCTCCTTTTCACTCAATATATACTGGTCAACTCTTGTCCCCTGGAGTCCAACAATCTACCTGCTTGGGAGGCTGGATGATTCATCAGAGTTGTAGGGCCTTTGAAGAGAGGTCCCATCATGCCCTGGGTCCTGGTTGATCTTGGAAGGCAAGGGTCAAAATACACTCTTGGTTATCTTTTTCAAGCTATATCTCCAAGCCTTAGTTGTTGAACACCCAGGAGGTCAGTTATACTAGTATTGAAGAGGGACTTGTAGGTTTAACTTTCATGATTTTATCTGCATATCTAGCACTTTGAAATACAAAGTATAGCCAGGGAACTCCTGTTGCTTTTTTTGTTGTTTGTTTTTAACAATTACGGCTGTCTCAGAGGCCAAATGCTTCTAGCATGTTAAAAGATAAAGACGTGTAACATGCCTTTAAGAGCTTCCCTGCCTACTCTCAAAAGAGAATACAAGACAATGTGGGATCCTATGTAGAGCATGAGGTGAAGCGCATCAGCCACCCACCTCATTTTAGGGTTACACTGCCTGTACAGCTGCAAACCAGGCCCACTCGCATAAGCGGTGCATCCCAAGCAGGGTCAGGCTGTGCATACCCCACCTAATGCCAAGGTGCAGCCTATCCAGTTTCCCACAGTCAGCGCTGCCCAGGGTGGCAGCTTTCCTTTATTGCCCCAGGGCCAGAACCACCTGCTATTGGCACTTCTGCCCTGTGAATCCCAGAACTGGCACCACCCAGGGGAGCAGCTGGGCTTTATTTTCCATCATTGACTGACTCAGCATTCCTGCCAGTCATGCACAAATCTGCTGCTCGCGTCGGCCAAAGCATCCTTGCTCCAGGCACACAACTACCCCGGACATCCCCAACAGGTCAGGAAAACAGGCAAAGGAGTTGCTCTCAATGGGTGGGCTTTACTAAAAATTTACCCCGAATATCTCTGTATCTAGGAATCGGTGACATACCCAAGGAACTCGGGGTTTAAAAAGTCTGCAAATGTCACTTAGCAACTGCAAATCATGCCAACTTGAGGACAAAATGGTAAGAATACCAGGACCAAATAAAATGGAAGGGGGGAAGGGAGCTAGAAAAGCAACTCTGAGAGGCTCCAGGAACAAATAAACACCAAACCAGCCTCCAGGCAGGGCTCCATAGGAAGCCTAGAACCCAAGAAAGCTATGGAGACACCTGAGAAAGCTGAAGCAGGCCCCATTCCTTTTCTCTTTTCTGCCCACTTTTTTTTACTTTATGTCATTATGAAAGACATGTTTAAAACTTTTTTAAGTCAAGTCTTTATGTTGTTTAGTTTTTTATGCCAATATCTTGTAATCTGAGCAACTTCCTTGAAGACGATATACCCAACAGGGTGCCCGTTGTTAATTTCCTATTATTGTCTTTTGAAATTCTGTAGCACTGTTTTTTTTCTCTTTAAAATGAAATAAATTTTAAAAATATAAAGAAATAAAACCAAATTCTGTAAGTAGGGGGAGAAAAGATGAACAAGAAGTATATAAAAACATAAAAGGATGCATAAACAGGTAATTTTTGTCTGTATTTCCCAAAAAATTTCTATATAGCAACGTTTTTAGGGTAAAACGTGCAAAACTATTAATATTGAAGTTATTGCTTTCTCGGTATAATCTGCTTTAAGGCTCCAGGGATGTGGCACTCAGTGTGCCATTCCTGCTTAGTTTACATTCAGAAGAACAGAACTAGAGGGAAACAGGACAGGCAAAATAATTTTCCAGGCTTCTAAAACATTGATATTTGATGTTATAAAAGCTTCAACAAATAAACTTGGCTGTTCCTTAGAGCACCATGTCCAACATTTTCACCTTAGTTTCTCATCAGCTCCCTGGGTTTGTTCCATGTGCTCCCCGAAAGATGAGCCTCGGTCCAGGTGGTTGGCCAGAGCCCGGCTACCTGTCCACGCTGCACAGGATGGACTAGGTTGCCCTGCTCCACTCACCACTCACACTTCTGTTCTCTTCCCTCTACCAGCTTTACCCTGAAGCCAGCGCTATGCTAGAAGTTGGAAGGAGTGCATGAGACTCATCCCTGCTTCCAAGAGGTGGACCCCAGCATCGCAGAAGGGGAGACAGTGAAGCTACCAATACAACACAACAGGAGTATCAGCTCTGCGGAATCAAGGAAGGTCACTCACTAACTGTGCATGGGGCTTGGGTCAATAGCACAGCAGAGAGTCTTGGCATGTGGTAGAGACCTGGAATGGGCGAGGTAAGAGAGGGCTTTGGGATAAGAACATTTTGTACCTGAGCAATAGTAGGTACGTAAGTAATTAAGACAACGTGAGGACACAGTGCTAGGGATGTGGATGAGAAGCTCTTCAGCAGGGTTGGTGTCAAGGTGTGTGTGTGTGTTGGGGGGGGGGTCCCACTGAATAGAGTGGAGATCATAAGGAATCAGCAGGTAGACAGCTCACACTAAGGTATGGGGTAGCATTTCACAGGTCAATAGTGTGAATTGTGAAGCAGGGAAGACATGGGTTTTATTTTAGCAAGAGTATGCTGGTAATACCATGAAGATGAACTTGTATGGGGCCCTAAGTGGGGGAAAGGTACACAGTGAGGAGGGAGCTATAATAGCAACAGATCGCTATCTAGGGCCTTGCAGTGGAAAAGGAAGTGAGGCATGTGCTCAGGGAGTCATCACTTAGGCAGAAGCAACAGGAGAAGAAAAACCAAGGATTGACGGATGGCTGTGGCTGAGGTACTAAATGAGGTAAGAAATGTCAGAGTAAAGGACTTGGGGGCAGAACAGGAAAAAAAGAATGAACTCAGTTTACACAGGATCAGGAAAATATGCCTACAGGCACACAGGCAGATGATAAGCTGCCTCACTGCCCAGCCATGTACTTTTATAGTCAGCCACTACCAACGAGGAAGGTGGTGACTGCCCACAGGAGTGGGTGCTCTAGCTACAGATGGTAGCACCCGCATGAACTACAAGATAGAATTCCTGGGAATAATGCTGCTTTTAGATATTCAGCCCTCCAAATCAGATTGCATGGAGATTTACCTGAGCCTCTAAGATGTAGGAACACAGTTTTCTTTCCTCACCTTAGGAATTCCATACCGTAGGAATTTTGAGTTTAAGCTTTTTTGTTTTTGTTTTTAGAAATGCAGTAGTATATGCATACTGGGGAGGCTATGAGATTGGTGAGTCCTTGATTCCGATCCCAGCCCCGTGACTTGGGATGAGGCAATGAAAGCTCCGAGTCTTGTTTCTTGCACTACAGAAGAGGGAGAATAACATCCAACTCTCAAGGGTGGTTAGGCAGGACGTACGTCTGGTTGGCTGCAGCAATCGTGTAACTCAGCCTACAGTAGATTGTGTGAGTGAAACCACTTAGATGCAAGGAAACATTAATGTCTGTAACACTTCAAATCTTTAGCCCCAACTCCCATATTTTAAGTTGATAATGTGTGTTTAGCCAGCTGTGGCATTTCAATTAAGAGGAAGGACAGAAAATTCTAAATCTAACAGTGTGTTTGTTTTTCTTTTCATTGTAATTAAAAAAAAATCAGTATACAACTTAGAAATGTTAGAGATGAATTTGAGTTCTCAAAAACAGCCAGTCATCTGATTTAGACACGATGGGATAAATCCAAGTAACAATTTTATTTCAGTCTACAGCACAATATTTTACATATATTTAGTGGTTTTGACAGTGCTACTTTTGAGCAGACTTTCACTGAATCCACAAAAAGTTAACATATTAAAACACACGCAATAAAATAACAGGCACCCGGATGTCCAGAAGCATGCATACAGGGGCGGGCTAATGGCGTCATCACTAGGTACCTTGCCTTCTTAAGAATTCACCGGAAGTGTCAGCTCTGCTGTTCCTCACCCCCCAATACCTCACCAGTTTTAAACATAAGTATCAAATACATTCTCTCTTAAAGTGACATCAGTATATATTTTGAGTTCATGAGCCTACTGTTAACTGACAATTCCAAGGAGCAAGCCCATTGCTAGAAAAACAGGCTACATGCACCCCTGGCCTAAAGGCAAGGTGATTTCATTTCTTAAAACACCAATAAAGCAACTAATATGTTAATCTTAATATAAGACAATGAGAGCAAACCAAAAACATAATATATACATATATAAATACCACTCTACTGAGTCAGGATATAACTCATGGGCTATAGACATGAGTTTCTGCTTGTCAATTCTTTAAATATATTTTGCTGTGATAAAACAAAAACAAAATCAAAAAGCAGTACACTGAGGGCTGCAGGAGGACACGGCAGGAATTTGAATTGATGCAACCAGCTCCACAATTTGAAATGAGTATCAAACAGGCACTAGAGAGCTACGAGGCACCAAACAGGCAAAAACAAACAAACAAACAACAATGATTCACTGTATTCCTAGAGCCCAGCAGGTGGTCTCCCCAACACGGCTGTTGCAATACACACACAATACTCAGCCCCTCCTGAAAGAGACCCTGAAGAACGCATGGCAAAGGCATCGAGAAAATGTGGATCTTTTGAAAAAGTGAATGATATCAAAATACTTTTCCATCACTGATAAACCAAACGAGGTCCTGTATACGGCCCCAAACAGCACTGAATTCAGTTAGAGGTTGGCAGAAAAGTTTGGAAAACTGTAGTTTTTAAAAATTGGCAATTTCTCCACGTTTCATAAAACTGTCAGAAGAGGTATAATGTTTGTCCATTTGTGGAATGTTGGTTGCTTACTGCAAAAATTCACAACATGAAGGAGGAGCTGCAAAGATGTGCTTCAATGAGATTGTTTCTTTAAAAATTTACAAAAACCTAAAGTTTCTATTTAAAAAATAACCATGTTATGCCAAGATGGAACATGGTAGAGAGTAGTATAAGCTCTGTCCGTGATTCTTCACACAGTGAATGGGAAAGTGATAGAAACAATTGGGTTTTTTTTTTTTTTTCTTAAAAAGGAAGTTTTCTTATTGCACTGACTTTTGCAACCTCCCCTAGGAATTTAGAAAAATCATGTAGTAAAATCTGTAAAACTAAAATACAAAATTCTGGTTTGTAAACATCAGCTGGCCAAATCTATCCAAAGTCCTTCACGACAGTGGGATGGAATGAATAACTAATTCTCGACCTGATTTGTTTGCTATGCAGGAGAAAAACTCCCAGAACACAGCTTTATACTTTCACAGTAATTATATTCGAAAGATATGAAGAAAGTCAGTGCGGTTGTTTTTTTCTCCCCCCCGCCTCCCGCCCCCCCTGTGCAATTTGCAGCTCTTTCCCCGCTCCCAAGTGCCACAACTGACATAATACTGCTTTGGAGACCTAGTACAGGCTGGTCATAGATGGCGCCTAAAGTCTGTGGGACTTCGGTAAAGGTATTTCCAAATGGCGTAGTAATGCACTGCAGCTGCCGTGGCCACGAACAGGTGCCAGATGGCGTGGGCAAAGGGGATGATGCCGTCACTCTTGAAGAACACGACTCCCAAGCAGTAAATCAAGCCCCCACAGGCAAGCTCGTGCAGTCCATCCGTGTTGTTCTGCCAACAGAGAAACAAACAGAAAAGAGCTTGACAGCTGCAGAGGTATCTGTCATGCCTTAGGCTCCTGATTTTCTAGACAAACAGAAGCTCAGTGTGACCAGACTGCTAATCTGAAAACACCAAGCAAAAGCATAGGAAGTCTCCCAGCCGTGACCTGGATCACCCTCTCAGTTGGTCTGGATCAGGTCGAAGCCGGCCGCACACCCTGCTCCTGCAGTGCAGGCTGAAGCACGCTGAGATTGGAGCAGACGCAGAAGCTCACTTTCACGAAGCGCGATTCCTGCTTGCCGTCTTCTCCTTTAAAAGCTTCAGGCAGGCCCAAGCTACTTATAATTTACCTATCAGCTGGGCTTTTTACTTCCCTTAGACCTTTGCAAATACTGTTCATAATGATTGCTTTTTCAGACTTCCGGGCTTGTGTGAGTTTATAGCTTCCTTATGGCCGACACAGGAAAATTACGGCTAGAAAAAGACATCCAAGGTCACAGGTATTTCCTGAACCTCCTAGATGTCTCCAGGCTTTTTTGTCTTTGAGCTGAACAGGAAGTCACAGTCATTGTGTTTTTTGACAAAAATAAATAAATAAATAAATAAATAGAATTGCTTTCTTACATACGAGATTAAAGAGGTCTGTATGAAGGAGAGGGGAAAGAAAAGAGGCACTGTTTTGGAAGCTGACAGAGATGTCAGGCCCCTGGACTTCTGAGACCAACCACAGCAAGGCTACAGAACCTGTAGGCCTGGGCACTGACAGCAGCAGCCTGCAGAGCCGTTGGGCAGGCTCCTCAGGTCTAACCCAGGGAGAGCAACAGCTTCAGGGCCTAGGCTAAAGGCAGTGATATCAGGCGAGCTCGAGCTAAGGGCCACGTGTGTGGATCAGTCCTTTTTTTCAATGTATTTGGTACAGGGACTCTTAGTGATCTTCCTGTCTCAGCCTACCCAGTACTGGGATTATAGGTATGTGCCACCGCACTTGGTTTCCTTGGCTGGCACAGCAGGCAGTACCGGGGACTGAGCCCAGGTCTTTGTGCTTGCCAGGCAGGTGCTTAGACCACCGAACTATCTCCCCAGCCAAACCTTATAACTTTTAACATGAATGTAAGTCCCTGTCCGGTGCGGGACATCAAGGTAACCACTGTTTTACCAGTGTCACCAAAGACCAAGTCCCTGTTCTGGAGCTTCAGCTAATATACACTACATCTACATTTGTGTGCGTGGCTCTCTTCTCCCCAGTCTAACATTTTAGGAGATTATCACGTGTACTACTATATATTCATCCATTCCTCTTTATTGCTTAGTAGCCCATTGATTTAGTCAATATCATTTATTGATTCTTTCTCTTTGGGGCCTACTATGAATAAAATATTTGCACTATTTTATAACTACAAAAGATGTAGCTTTTTGCAAATCAAAAATGTAGATGCACATTTTTATTAGTTGGGTATTGCCAAATGAGTCACGGATTAAATGTATGTTTCATCCTTTATAACTAAGCAATTTTCTGAAATAGCTATCTTTTATATTTGCCCCTGCAATATAATACAAGGCTCTAGTTACGTCACACCCTTGCCTAGTACTGGAGTTTCCTGTCTTTTAATTCTAATTATTCTCCAGGGTGCGGTGGCAGTTCCGTGGGGTTGTAGTTTCCACTATGCTGAGGGCTGATACTGAGCCCCCTTTGAAAGGTCCGCTGGATATGTGTGTGTCAAGAGCA